GTATATATATATATATATATATATATATATATATATATATATATACGCACGTGTGTGTGCGCGCATATATGTACATATATGTACACACACACACTCTTTGATAAAAAGGTGACATAAATAATTTTATTTATAATGGCTGTTTAAACTCTTCAGAGCTGGGTATGAAGTTGGGGAATATATTCTGGGCAAATTCCAGCTGTATATTTTTGCTTAGAAATTATTTATATCTCATTCACCACATCTAGACTATGTGGATTTTAGGAGGCCAAAAAATCCTATGAACTGCAGCTTTATAATCTGCAGAATATAGGAAAAAAATGAAATTGATCAGAAGGGAGGCATTAATTTATAGAGTAATTTGATGCTGACATACTCAGAAGTAAGTTCAATTCAGTGGGACTTATTCCTAGGTGAGTGGATATAAAATTTTGCTTCTGTAGAGGTGCAGAAAGGAACTGAAGATTAATAGATGAGAAATCTAGCAATTCTCACAGAGAAACTGTGACCTAGAAAGACAGAGAACACATGTCATTCCAATATAAGAAAAGACAGAATCATAAGGAACACTTCGCTTTTTGTAGTAAAACTCACCTTCTTCAATAGCACCCCCTAAAAATCTAGATTTTGAAAGTAACTTAGAGATACAAAAGTTTTTCATTGTGATGGCCCAGAGGCAATGGGAGATGAAAGCTGTGTAAACAATAAACCACTCTGAGGCCACCGTTGTTACTCAGGGGAGTTTAGGCGTTGTTTTTGTAACTAGGGCTGGGTTATCACATCTTGTCAGACATTCTTGTGAAAGGCAAGGTTTCATAACCAGATTGTTCTTCCAGATCTTGCTGGTAGTGGGGTTTAATTTAACCCAGCATTCAGCTAGCCAACTTGTTTTGAATGCAAATTCTTTGAATGATGAGTGACTTTAGGGTTCTGTTACTTGCTCAGATTTGGTCATCTCTGGAAATTCATGGCAACTCATAATGATGTATTTACAAGTACGCAGGTAGAAGGTTGATTGACAGCTTAAGACTCCATATTCACAGTTCTCACACCAGATTTTTAGGTGGCAGCACATACCTTCAGATCCTTAGAAACACAATTCAGCCCCCTCATCTTTTTTGCTGAATCCAACTCTCCAAAATACTGTCAGGTTTTTAAAAAATTTATTTCTGACACTTAGATCTTCACTGCACATATGTTTCGTGGAAGTGATGGAGGGCTATTAAGTTTATGTAATTTTTGGCCATTGACAAGGACAGCCATCAGCAAATTCAGACTTTGGTCATTTCCATGCTAGCTATTTATAGGATCTACGAAGCATCACCTAGGCATTGTTAAAGTGATATAAAGCCTATCCTCAGTACTATTATTTTGGCTTGATGGCTGGAAGATTCTTGAAGAATCTTTCAATCACTAGTGCAAAAAGCATCTGTAAACGTCTTCTCACAATTACAGAAAAATATAATTAGAATACCCCTAGAGAACATCTGACTTAATCCTGAATCCAATTAAAATGCTAATCACAAGCTAACAAGTGTGGATTCATAGATAGATAGATAGATAGATAGATAGATAGATAGATAGATAGATAGATAGATAGATATCAGTAGGGTTGGGGAAAACCTAGTTTTGCAGCAATGTAATTTAAGCTCAGTGAAGACTGAACATGCTCAGGGACCAAGAAATGCTGCTTGACTATGAAAGAAATTCAGTGGAATATGGAATGGGGAGGGAAAGACTTGCATGACATATCCTAGAACAGTGTTCCTCAACCTTAGCGACTTTAAGATGAGTAGACTTCAACTCATCATGGCTGGGGAATTCTGGGAGTTGAAGTCCATTCATCTTAAGGTTGCCAAGGCTGAGAAAAACTGTCCTAGAAGGATCAAAAGTCAATTGTAACTTTGAAAAAGTTATGTGGCCTTGGCCTAGGATTCGGGAGTTGGAATCCAACACTTCTAGAAGGCAAGAGGTTGAGGAGGATAATGTAGGTTGTTTTAAATGCATGCTGAGTAATGTAGATGGTGGACAAACATTTCTCCATACTTGATGTTCCATGAGGAGCTTTCCAGTTTCTCCTTTCCTTCATCCCCCTTCTGTTTTTCTGCCTGTGCCACTCTTCCAGCAGTCAGCATCCCTTAGCTGTCATTGTGAGGTTATGGGGGTTCTTCCTTCCAAGTTTCCCCCCCTATTTTTTACAAAGTTTAAGATTCCCAAGACTGCTGATATCAGTGTAGGCTTTTGCGGCCAATATCTGTTGGGTAGTGTTGAGCTTCACTGGTGACCATGGTCTAAACAGTAGATTTCCTGACGTTTCATCAGCAACTGTGGCTGGCATCCTCAGAGCCTGTCTAGACCATGGCCACTAAACCCTGAAGCTCAGCACTGCCCCACTGGCGATATCAATTAATCCTGTATGGATATTGCCTACCTGTCTAAGGATGACATTTGCAGACTGAACATAGAAGTCCAGGAAACACAGCTTGTAGACTGAGTGCGTGGACTAGCCATTTAAAACAATTCATCTGAGATAGTGCAGAGAAGTGTATTTATGCCTCAGATTGCTGCCTGATGACTTTCAAGTGACAAAGGTGACTGAAAATGCATAATTATTGCTGAATGCAGAAGGCTGGAGCTCTCCACTGAGTGGCAGGCAAACCACATCAGCTCCTGCACAGTGTGAGGAACGGTATGCAAAGGGTTTGTGTGTCCAATAGAGAACATTCAGAAGATACAGTATGTGATTGGTATTGTATTTGTAAGCACTTTTATCTTCCTCCATAGAAATTCCCTGGTGTGTATGTCTGGAAATGAATCTACGCTGTGTTGCTCTTTGCCTGCTCTTCCTTATAAGTCTGAGCTATGCAAGGGCTGATGTATCACCAAGCACATCCCTCTACTCCTCTTCTTCATCCCTCCCCACCATATTGTCATCCACGCCGCAAATGTTCTCTGAATCCACGCAAGATCCCAAATCTCTTCTGCACCCCAGGCCAGACACCAACTCTCTACCCAATTCCTCCCTGGCTCAGGAGAACCAGACTCAGCCCTCGGTCTCCACCCACCAAATTGAGAATGCTGAGTTGCCCCAAGAAGAAGAGGATATCGCTCCTTTCAAGTTTTCTGACCCAAACATGGAAGATTCAGGAAAAAGTCATCAGTGGGAGGCTGCAGCTGGGGGCGTGACAATCGTGCTGATGAAACCCAAAGGTGAAGGACAGTTGGAAAGGAGGTTCCTTGGGGGAAAGCTCATTTTTGTTCAGTTGAATCTGGGATTCTTGAATGGTCCAGATTGAGCTTATAGATTTAGCTTCAAGCACTATAATAGAGATAATGCTTGAATGTTTAGAAGTTGGTCCAGCCTAATGAGTTATGGTAATAGGGATAAGCATTCAAAATTACCTTTCCTTCTAATAATCCACAGGAGCTTTTATTTGTTACATGCACCATGATGTCATTGTGCAAAAGGTGTTAAGTCCTGAGTGATGTCGCCATAATGTACATGATATTATTTGCCTCCCCTTGGCCTTTCTCTTGGACACCCATGCCAAGATTTTAGAAAAACTTTAGCTTGGGATGAAGGGGAATTGAGACTGAGACATATACAATCACAAATGGCATAGATGATCTGGATCAAGCTTTTCTCCTCTCACTATGTCAAACCTTGAAGTCATCCATTGATGCTAAACGCAGGGAGATTTAGAATTGATAGAAGGAAATTCCCTTTTTACAAAGAGCTTTGTTAAACCATGAAATTTGTTGATAGCCATTGTGGTGGTTCCATGTTCTATGCTCTTCTGGTTCCTCTGTAACAGAGATCTGGAAGCGGCAATGCCTCAGTGTATTAGCATGTGACTGGTCATTGTAAATTCTTGGATTCTCTAAAAAGGCTGTGGATGACTGAGAGTCAAAAATTCTCATCCTATAGTCTGAAAGAGCAATGCAATAGAGAAATGGTTCTACTAAATTTGACTAGTACTCCATGCAGTCCGGTTCCCTTTCCTTAAAAGAGTATTGTGCTATGAAAAAAGATGGAGGAAACTGTAGGAAAGCAGGGCAGGTTTGCATATGGAAGTCGAAATTGCTGGAATCCCTTACAAACCTCTGTGACTGAGGAAGAACAATTGCAGATTAAAACCTGCTTGGGAAGCACTTTCGGAATTTGTTGGAAGTATCTATCTGGAGGCTGCAGGATCACGCACAGACCCCAAAAATCTTAGTCAGATTCCATAGATACAGAAAAATAATAATCTGGGAGTGATAGAGGGGAAGATTATGCAATACATGGCTGGAAAATAATCATTGATTTTAATTTTAGATCAAATTTAACATTTTTCTCACCCAGCTCCACTGTTTTAATTATTGTACCATACTGTTCCAAAGCCAATTGCACTCTACAGACTCAGATAAATGTGTGTCTCCCTGGGGTAAGTAAATTCAGCAGGGCTAGAATAGCCAGGTGCATGAGGTGTCTTAGGTAGGAGAGAAAGAGATTTGAGTCTGTTCAGTGTGCTAAGAGCTTGATTTCTTGGCTCTTTGTAAAAAGGAAAAAGTGCAGTTGGGGTGGGCAGGTTGCTTTCAATGAAAACTGATAGCTAGTAGTCATCATAGTCTCTGGCTCTAAACCCAGGTTAACAAAACACAGTTGCTCTGAATACCCCTATGTCCAAACAAATAGATCACATTGTAGCTTAATCCAACATGGGGAGGCAATGGCTGGGTGTCCTTTAATATGCCGAAGCATTATTAGCCAACTCTACTTTATCCTAGTCTGGTATATTGTATGTGAACCCAGGCATTTTTTTTTTCTATAAAGGTCAACTAGGAGTTGGGGAACCTCATGGGGCAGCCGGCCATGCCATGGGTCTGTTCCTTGGGGGCTGCGGCTTGCTGCTGTGCGTTTTCATTGGAATCTATTGTGCCTACAGTCGAGGAGCCAAGAAAGAACCGTTTGCCCACCATCGCTTGTACCAGGAGGCATTTGATGACCCTGGTAAACCTGCTTTCCAGGGCTTTTGGGATGGGAAGGGTCACTTAGTGGGCACTGTCAATGTCTTTATTCTGTATTTTGCTCCCAGGAGGAGATGAAAAACTTACTCCTTCTGAATCAGTGTTGTTGATAGCCTTTGGGTGTAAAAATCGTGGTGGGGGGGGGAAGGGTTGACAGGTAGTCCTCATTTAACGACCACTCATTCAATGACCATTATGACAGCACTGAACGAGTGGTACTTACGACTAGTCCATCCCAGCACCCCATGGTCAAGTGATTGCAATCTGGGCACTTGGCAATCAGCTCGCACTTACAACAGCTGCAGTGTCCCATGGTCATGCGATTGCCATTTGCAACCTTTCCTGCCAGCTTCCCACAAGCAAAGTCAATGGAGAAGCCAGCAGGAAGGTCACAAGTCATTCTGCTAAGTTGCTTGCACTTCCGCGCGTGGCAGGAGCCACCCCGGCCCTACCATGCTCGCACCACGCCTCACCGGCCACCTGCGCACTCTCCTCCACCCAGCAGCAGCCACTTACTTGCCTGCCGGCCTGGTTGCAAGCCACTTAGGACTTGCTTAATGACTTGTGATCCTCGCTTAACGACAGCAGTAGGGAGTGCTGGGATTGCTACTGCTAAGCATTGCAGTCAAATGACAACACACTTTACAGTAATTTTATTGAGCATTACAATTAAAAAGATAAGAATTAATACAAACTAAAGAAAAAAGAAAAAATAGAAAGTACAGAAAAGAGAGAAAGAAAAAAAGGAAGATATATAAAGAAATGACTTCCCCCTTCCTAACAACAAATATAAACAATTTTAGTAATTTATCACCTCTTATAATACATCAGATGATCTCTTCTTCCCATATCTCATCTCTTATCT